TATATATATATATATATATATATATATATATATATATATATATATATATATATATATATATGAGTGGGCAGCCACGAAACAGGCTTGTAGGGATGAACTTGTAGTTTATTTGTGTTTTTCCTCCCACATTGTGTGTATATATATATTTTGCCAATCAAAATCTCAGCTATGGGAATATTCTTAACATATTCTTAAAATTTTCACCACTTTCAACCACAATAGAAGATGTCTTAAAAAAATAGAGTGTAATAACTAGAAATAAAAGCAGATGGCCGATACTACAAGATTCTCACTTGCCACACTAATCAAAGATGGCGGATGGCAAAGGAATGAACCAATGCGTCTAGTTCTCAGTGCTTCATGGTTTGACTCACCGGATGAAAGTGACATCATCGCTTGAAAATGCTGCACCTGGGTCGTGCTAGGATAGAGCGAGCTTAATAGGCCATTTCCTGGGGGTTGGTGTTCTACAAAGTATAAGCCGTTGTAGGGAGTACCCCTGAGGAAGAATTTCGGAGTTACTCTTTGCCTCTGTGTCAAAACGAGTCTTCGGGCGAAACCATTCATTTGATAATGTGTTCGCCCTACAGGTTAATGTTTGTACAAAGCAAACTCAATTACATATGAATTATTTTGCACGAGGACTCCTTTTACAACACAGGCACAAGGTAACTCAGAAATGGGCTATTTACTTTTTTCTCTAACCACCTAAAAAGCGATTGGATACTACGATTCAGGCCAGATTTCTCTTCTTTCCTTGCATCTGCTCACTCAACGAAGAAAAAAAAACTTCTTTTATTGTACACTGTGCAAGTAATTATCACCTTCTCATACTTTATTTTCCCTTGACAGCCCTTGATGGCCAGCGTTACACTCCTGAACAGAAAAAGGAAATTCTGAACGAATATTTCTATCGTTTAGAGGAAGAGCTGTTGAGTTCTCCAGAGTATTACATGCTACTCGCGATGAGGAATGCATTCATTATCATCGAAAAATCATAGTCTATGAAAAAATAAAAGACTATTTACACATGCAGCATGAAAAGGCAAATTTAAGTTGCCGTAATGTCAGCGTAAAGCTACTACAAAGTTCTGCTTTACACAGCTTTACGTCACATTTATTTTTTTCATGTTGTGTTAAGGATTGCTTCTGAATCATTCGAGTTATATACCCTATTAGCCTCCTTGCACAAACTATATACCATTGTCATCTTTAATTGCTTTATATGTATCTTTTTTTTCTTTCTTTTTTTATGCTAATATTGTAATTTCAAAATGTAAGTGCAAAATAAAGTGAAGTTGAAGAAGTTGAAATTGAAGCTTGGGTGAACCAGGTCAGGCGCCAAAACATTCCCGTATAGGGCCGGAAATTCAAATTTGTCGGGGGCTGGCACAGAATTTCCAAGGCCTCACGAATTCTCTCCCTGAAGTTGTTTGCCTCTCTGTTCGGTATCTTGTTTCTGATTAAGTCAACTAAAGAGTCGGGAAACAATATCTTTACTCGATAATATCTAATAAATACATGACTGTTATGCCATTTCTGCGTAATTTTTTGAAAGAAATAAAGCGTTTGTCGTTTTTATCCTAAGTGATTTCCCCTAAATTAGGGGAAATCGCTTAGATTTCCCCTAAATTAGGGGAAATCACTTAGGATAAAAACGGCAAACGCTTTATTTCTTTGAAAATTCAACCTGTATATCAAAGGTTATATTTCACATTGTAAATACTTTATGGGTTAGGGTAAACACAGCGACAGCGTTCCCCGTCCACAACCTTACTCTGTCAATGGCAAACGAGTTTCAGGTCCTGTGGGTCCTGAAAACCTGAATCAGAGGTTAGAATTTTGATATTTCGGAGAAAACAGCGTATATAAAATTTCGGAACGGATTCACAGCGATGAAACTCAAAAGTTAAACGTCACTTCTAGTCAGTTCGTGTTCCGAAAATTTGTACAAGCTTGGTGGTATGAGAGGCCGCAGAAAATGTGCAAAACTTTGTGAGAAAACGTTTAAAGACCAGCGGTGGCGAAGCAAACAACCTCTTACCTAGGCCCACTGTTCGCCATGCCCACCGGTCGGGAGACGAGCGACCCTGGAAAGTTCTGGAAATTTTCGTGCTTCCCGTTGAACTGCGCATGTCTCCTTGACAAATACGCGACTCAATCGCGCCACTGGTGTTCTACTTCCGCTCATTTCTATTGTTTTCAAAACAAGAGATTAGCAATTCTTCGAAACGTTAACAAATCAAATTCAAGCCTGGAATGGAATTCTCGAGAGTCACTCGTTTCGCAAGCTAGAAAACTGTTCAAAGCCTCTCTATTTTTTTAACCCACGCGAAGGAAAAAGTGAGGGAGGGTGGGACGCGAGCGAAGCGTCCCCACCCACTACGTACTTAGTCAAGGCTATTGTTTTGTACTGGCGTCCAGTTCTCTCGCGATTTAATCCGCGCTTTCAACGATCGAATAAAAATACGGGAAAATGGAAAACTGTGAACTGTCCATCAAGTTTGCGCAGCAAGGAACGAAGTCTCGAGTAACGGGATTGAGAATCAAATTACGAGCCGATAAACAAGATGAATTAGGATTGGCAAATTCTAAATGCATATATGCAGTGTATAAAGCTTAAATTTTCAGTGACTGCTTTACCGACTTTTGGCTTGATGAAAGTGGAGACTTTCGGAAATTTGAGACATGAAGAGGTACTTTTGGTGGGAACGCATTTTCGTCCCCAGAGGTCGCGCTCTTTTTGGTCAACACTAAGAATCGCGACCTCTGGGCTGGTCCAACACCGGAAGTCCGCGATTCACGGACTATCCGTCAAATCCAACAAATCTGATTAGCTGAGAATACGAAACGAATAGTCTGCGCATGTTCAGAAAACCGGGTCGGGCCAAAGGCCAAAGGTCTCGATTCTTGGTGCTGACCAAAAGGAGCGCGGCCTCTGGAGACGAGAATGGCGGGAATGACGGATGGAACCGCGCACGCGCAGAATGTTTGACCGCTGTAGAAGGAAAGGATTGTTTGTGGAAATGTAGAGAAGTGTGATGATCTACTATCAAATCCTAACTCGAGGCTAAATATATTAGAAAAGCTAAAACAACAGTTTTAATAACTCAACGAAAATGAAACATAACCCGCATTCGAACAATCTGAGAAATCAAACACCTCTCTTAATTTCCTTCCGAAATATAGAAAAAAAAAAACATCAACCAAAACCCTAAACATGTTTCGCTTCACGTTTGTCTAATAAAGGAAATTAATGTCACAAGAAAGACAGGTTGAATTTAGCTACAGAAGAAAATTACTTTTCCGCTATTAAATCATTTGTTGTCTAGACCGGGGAAAGATTCAAGCGAAATGAAACAAGGTAGAAACGCAAGTTTTCCAGTGACTTTTATCCCAGTTCGTATTAAAATGGTACAGAGAGTCGACTGATAATGGTTACAAAGCTTTTCTTTGTAGATAAATGATGTTTTTCTGCCACACGCGCCAGATTGCGTCGCAAAATCTTCAGCCGAGTACGCAGAAAGCTGTTGACTTGCTCATGACAAATATAAGATGATTAAGACAAAACATTCAAAAGCTAATAAGTCAACATATATTTTTGACATTATGTTGGTCAAACTTGGCCAATAACTCCAGTTAATATCCGCAGGTAAGTTTAAAATACACAGTTGTTATATATTTGCTGCGGAATTTTCTTTGTGGCTATTCAAACTGGCCGCTAATTACGGAGTTGCGTCGAGATCAGCAACAAGACTCAAGCGTAGTTTAATTTACGGGCAAAGGCTTGTGTAGCGCGTAAAGTTAATTATTTTGCTTTGTGTATAACATCATGAAACAATATCGATAGCAATGAAAGTTTATTTTTGTGTGTTGTAATCGGAGAGATTGACGTAAAAGGTTTAATTACTGAAAAACGCGCACAAAATGAAAATTACGTGCGTACAAACCTTATGTTGACGCTACCATTGCAATGTCAAATTTCTTTCATACCGTTTATTAACTGTTTGTTTTTATATTCTTCTATACACAACATGGTTTTCCAGTTTCTTACAGAGCCTTGCAATTTTGATTTTTATTGAATTTTTTGCCGCTAAAAAGTCAGCCTTAGGAAATTAAACTGTGTGAAAATCTGAATTATAGACTTTAGTGACGCACTGATCCAAGATTTCGGCCCTTTGCGCAAGCAGTAATTATTTCCCATTCGAAGATGTTATCTTTTCGCGTGTTTTTTTCAATAAAGGCAATTGTATCGAGGGCCTCTGAAGTCCAAATTTACATGTGTCAGGCTTTTGTTTTCGAGCAATTAAAACGGAATGAACCTTAAGGACTTCAAATTCGCATAAATGCCACTGATCACAAAGGAATAACGCGCAAGGTTCAAGTGTAAGTTATTTTCAGTGAATTTTTACCATTTTTGCTGAGAACTCTTGTGTCTTCCGCGTGAAACTGTCTAGAGCTGGTCTTAGTGCTTAAAAGTGTGCATTAACATCGATATTTCTGGGCGGTTTTTTATCGTCGTGAAATCAATCTTTGCCTCGGATTTAAATGAACACAAAATTTACATGAGCTCCCCAGCCAATATCTTGTCGCGCTTTTGCTTTTGTCGCCTGACATAGACAATCAGTGGAAGTTCTCTTTGCCAGATTTGCGAAATTATATTAGCACCACCGCACCAAAATAGACAGTAGAGCCATTACGGCAGATAGCTCGATAATATGTTATTAAGCGGATGTTTTTCAGCGCGCGCGAGCGTACGGTCGGCACGTAAGTCTCTTGTTCTCACAAAAATTTCCACTAAGCGCGATTTCCACTAAACGCAACAAGATTTTTCGTCGATTTGTCCTTGCGAAAAAGGTGATCTTAAATTCGCTTCCCATCATGTGTGTTTTCTGTGCCGCCTATTGTGCAATTAAGTTAATTGTCTTGTTGGTAAGGATTTGTTCGAAGAATACGGTAGGCCCTTCAATCTTCGTTTCATTTGTTTTGCAGGGCACAAAATTGACAGCAACTGAGTCAATGACCATTGGAGGTAGTTATTGGTCACGCTTGACAAAGGATTAGTCGTAAACTGCTGAAGCTAGCGCTTCGACCTAGGTCGATGCCATTTTTACAAGCAGTTATTAAAGGATCGTTGTGACGCAGAGGGAGCTGAACAGAGCTGCAGCTCCTTCAACCTGTAGATCTTAGCCACAATTCCTCAGCAGGATCAAGCGCTGCTGGAAAGCGCAACGCACTCTGTAGATATGAGCTCAATGAACCATGAATTGCAGTTCCTTCGAGGTAATCATTTTCCGGAGGGCTTGGAACATTCGGAAGACCCAGCGCTGCGGAAAGAAAGGCAGATATCGCGAAAAATTCTGGTATTTGCTTCTACTGTGGCGGTGATGGGGATAGTTTGTTTGGTGATTGGAATCGCCTTGCTTCGAATGAACAGATCGGATAAGACGAACTCCACTCTGAGCCCGGACGGCGACAGTAAATTGGAATGTGAAGGAAAGTCGATCATAACACCGAAGACCAGGAATTTCACCGACAGCTGCAGTTATTCAACAGAGTTCAAGGCATCAGGTACATAAATGTTACCTCCTTGTTGGATTTCATGCGCTAAAACCTGCTAAAACATAGATGCGAAACTCTTTCGGCCCACCCATTTAAGCTGACTGAGTTTCTTCAACCGTGAACGACTACTCTACGAGCAATTGATTAGATGCTTTACAATTCAAATAAAAGATCAGTTTATATCTTCATTCTAACAGAGGCGTAAGGTAGTTTTTTGTCAATTATGTGGTCAGAGGTCAGACGGGAGATTTTGGAAACTTATCCCGAAATTAATACAACACTTATTTGTGTTAATATAATTGTTAAGATCTCTAAAGGCTTCAGAAAAAGCGTTCTATATGAAAAAAATGTGGTAGAAAAATGTTTACATGAGGTTCAGGTGTCTTTATGAGATTGCATTTGATTGCAAGAATTATAGTAATTTCACAAGAACTATTTTTGTGAAAGGAAGTTCAATGATCAAAACTAAATCATTCTTTCAGAAATTAAATAACTTTTGTCCTTTTGAAAGGAAGTGTACATTTCCTCCTCGCCTTCCGGCCTTCTACGAAACGGCAATAAAAAATGCAGATTTTCCGTGTATCCTCGAGCTAATAGCTGGTTGTCATTAAAACGTCAGGAAAATTAAGAGTAAAAGTCAACAAATCGGTGATTAGTTTATCATTAGATGTAGTCATCAACATTTCGTTTCGTTGAGTTTTCTTGATTATTAAATGTGAACTTGATTGCCCTTTGCAGCTTGAATCCAAGAACGCTCTCTATTTTTTTTGTGCTCACTTGTTACCACTGGAATCGTGAACATTTTCTTCGATTCGAAATGATAAGGGACGGAAAAGCACCAGAAAATAATACTTACGCAGATAGTTTTCGCGAACGCAGGAACAATTTCCTTACAATTTGAAAAGAGCAACGGCATTACAAACAGTCAAATAATACTCGTAAGGGAAAACCAGCCATCGAAATCCATGATACATTATAACTTCGATTCCAAATACTCTTTTGAGTAAAACTTGTAATTTTCATTCTTCTTAGGAAAAAAGTTAGTTCGTGGTTCAAACTTGTGAGTCTCTTTTAAGATCTTGAATTGAAAAAGGCATTAAAATGCCTCATACTGTCCTAAAACGGAAGATTGTATTGACGTTCTTTGAAATTTGAAATGAAAATAGTGATTTTAAGAACAGGCTAGATTTATTTCGCAGGTGGTCCTCAGCTTTTTATATTATCCACGTAACAAGTGTATAGCAGAGAATTCGTGTTTTGATAATCTCGAATTAATTCACTGAAACACCCAATCCAACGCCACTGGTCAGACACTAGCATGTTTTTTGGCCAATAGGATTCCTGCGCAAAAACCGTCAAATCCGCGTTCTTTTTATATCAAAACCTCAAAATCGCGTAAAACAGGCTTGTTATTAGTAATGAAAATTAGTAACATTCTATAGTCATTGACATATATTCTGACCAAAGTGGATAATTATAATCAGGAAAAGGTCCTTATTTTCAAAAGAAAGTTGTCTGCTATTAAGAATTCGTTTAATATCTTTTCTCCTTATGGAGTATGACTCAGCTTCTCGCAATTTTCGGAATTTGCGGCTAATCCCGAGTTTTCGTGACTTAATTAAAAAAGTCAAATAAGATCATATCAAATAAAAAAATCCGCCCAACAAGTCAATGATAGAGATTGATGGAAACTCACTTTTTGTCAGGCCCGGCCTTAGTCAAAAGAGTTTGTGGACAGAAAGAAATACTTGAACTCGAGCGTTATTGAATTTCTGCTAGCATCAATGATCAATTCCCGCAGTGAAAACGTGCGAGAAACGGAGTAATCTAATTAACTCAAATATTTTAACGTTTCTGTAAGAATAGTTCAATGACACTCGCTATTATCAAAGCTCGAATCAGCGGGCGTTTAAAAGTTTAAATTTCGGTGTGATTTTTCACAAAATTTGACTTGAGATCTACAGTCACATAATTTCCTCAAAGCCGAAAATTTCGTGTTCTATTTTTAACGATATCGAACGATATTGCTTTTTGTTATGTTTGCATTTGGCTATTTTAAATATTAACTCTTAATTTAGTCTTAACACCGGTGTACACTCATGAAGAGCCACATCTTCTTAGTGTTTCGTGTTTATCTCCCTCAAAAAGTAAAGTTGATCGACTGTCTTTTCTTTCAATGTTGCATTCTTAAAAAGCATGGAGCGAAAATGAACACAGTTTTCCCTACAGATGAGAATATCAATATAATCTTGGTGCCTAGGGCATATAAAAACTTGGGTAGACGAACTGACGAAGATCTTACACAGCCGAAACGTTTTGCTACCTGTGTCTAAAGTTTCAGCATTAAAAATGGTAGTAAGAGAACTTTTGCCCAATGTGACGGGGTATAATGGTAAAATACGAGACAGTTTAAGACGCCCAAGTGCCGAGACCACTGTGCATAGTTTGAATTACATCCAGAAAAAACTGGAGCCCTTACGTAAAATCAAAATTTCTTTTAGATGGCGAGACTAAAGACAATTTTGGCGTGACCATTCATCGGATCCGAAAAATCACGATATGAGTAGGAGCATTATTTAGGCCCACGTTATATCACAAATAGCAAATGAAAAGTCAGTCCTGTTTCTCGTTTTACAAATTAAGAGTAAATAAATCTGTCATAAAAATAGGGGAAATTTTTCACGTTTAAAGTAAACGCGAACCGTACCGCTCAAATGAAGTTGCACACTCTCACATAAAGAACAAACTCTTAGAAAGCATTTTCTTGTTAGAGTAACTTCCAAGGGCCTTCATCAAACATAGAATTATAATGTTATAGCCTTGAACACGATTTCTTATCCTAAAACTTTATTCTGGCTCAGAAGGTAAGTAGTGACAGAATTCTTGAGTTTAAACTAACTTTCATTAAACAAGAGAAGTCTAAAATTGTTTCATACAAATTTGATGCAGAGGCAAGTCCAGTGCAACTGAGCAAAACAGCATTAAGCCATCCCGTGTGGCCGATATCACGCCCAAGCGTGCCGACATCCAAGTTATCCTCTCGACTGTGGGGCGTGAATATTGATTTCATAATCAACAAACACGATAAACGACTTGATAAGGATATCACGTACATAGAGAAGCCGACTTATTTCCCTTCAAATATCTCTACCGCAGCGTACTTGGAATATTATGGTTTTTAAAAAGCTTCTTTCTAAGAGAGGCCAAGTTCAAAATGAACAAAAATCACTGTAAAATTTCGTTTATCCAAATATAAAAAAACAAGAAGTACAAGGATAGAGGGGCATTTAAGTACCTCTTTGCATTTTCATTATGGTCACACACTGGTTTTATTTATAAATTTTAAAATCACAGTTAAAATGAAATGATGTTAGTCTTCGCTGACAGAGTGAACGAGTTGGTAGTGAACTGCATGTGGAAAGTCGTCGTTGTTTTAAGACCAGCGATAACTTGACTTCACCTTCAAAGAATGTACGTGTTCCTTTTTCCACAGACCCATGTAAGCCAAGCTTTCTCGATAAAATCAGTGTACATTTTCCATAGAAAAAACTTTGTCATGTCGAATGGCATGTGCTCTTGATGGCTATCGTGAAGTCATTATCAAACCAAGAGATTGCCTTTTCTTCTAATTAACGAGTTCATTAGGGAAGCCAAGTGTTTCTGGAAGCTTCATTGCACTTGAAAAGAATTGTAGCAATCTCTAAGTGACCTTAACGTTGCAATTAATATATAGGCACGGTTCTTTTGACTTAAGTATGCTGAATCACTAGCTGCCATTTTGCGGTTTTCATAGAATGTAACAGCACTGATATCGTGTTAGACCTTTATTCAAAACATTATAATGTCACGAATGATTGTTTTATATTATTAACAATGGACTTTTTCCATAAATAGCTTACTCTAAGAGCTATGTCTCAAAGTATCTAAAGAGCTTCAAAATTTGATGCTGGAGATACATTATTCTCTAGAATCAGTTATAATACAGGCTACTGCAATTTTTTCGTATCAGAATATATTCTGGCGAAGACTAGGGACGATGATCCAGGAGACCACATGGGTAATTTTTTCAATCTAATTTTAGCGCATGCTCGCACTGCGAGACTATTATAGGTAAGACACCTGATTGGTCAATTAAGATGACGTAATGAAAGTTACAACATGGTTTTGTTAATAAAACATGCAAAAAAACTTGCAGCTGGATTTTCGGAGCGAAATTAGCAAGAAAATGGGAGAAATAAAATGTGGAAAAGATTTAAATGAAACGATTAACAACATCGAAAAATGTTTTAAATGGAAGGTTTATTCACCTGTTTCTCAAATGAAAATACACATTCTCCTTACCAAATTCTGTGGATTTCGCTTAAAGCTATAGTATAAGAATTTAGCAGCGTGCATTGCAGAGCCTAACTGTCAGTTAAATCGATAGTTTGATAGTTTGTGGTAGAGACTAATGACTTGAAGTTAACCTAAAAAAAGTTAAAGACAGTATCCTGTAGTTTACGATTTTTATTTCTGTTCTCATGCATGATCTCTGCTTCAGCAGTGTGTGATACTGCTAGTAATCTCGCCCATCTCTATAGTGACTGATCCATCAAAACTTAAACCTGAACTTTAACTTATCGCCTTTCTAAGTGCCTCGGTTCGTTAATTGGCTTATTTACTTTGCTGCTGCTAATGGAAAGTTAGCTATACTGACTCACAAAGTAAACACGGAGGAGCAATTTTTAGTGTCAAAGCTTTTCTTTTCCTATATGTTGAATGATCAATATCTTTGAACATCTACTGACACAATGAGACCAGCAATGCATGACCCTGTCATACAATTTATGATATTTCTTTCACCATACACATTGAAGACCAAAATAGCTTTAACAAAAGCACAGAAAGGGAATCAACGACAGGACAGTAACGTTACTTAGATCAGTTTGAATTTATGCGGTGGAAGTTAAACGAATCAAGATGTCTCGATATATATAGGAGTGTGAAGAGTCATTTTATGCGACGTTGAAAGGAGAACTCGAACTGACGGATTAATTAAAGTGAAAAATGAAAGGACAAGACAAAAGGTTAAATAAGCCATAGAGTAACAGATCTGGTTTAGAAAGGCGACAATTGAGCAATATTATTGAGTTAAAAAATGCTAGTGATAATGTCACGGGTGGAAGCTCAATTGAACCCTTATGTAATAGTCTTGAGATGGGGAACACCATTCTTTTCCTCCCTCGAGTTCGAACGAATCACTCCGAATATTTCACAGTCATGATTTAGCTGCTCTGATTGGTTGTTGCCAGGCTGCGACTCAGCCAATCAGAAAACCATTGCATGGTGAATGACAGTATATTAAACTTTGTTGTCATGGTACATTTTTTTTTTTTTCAGGTCTCTTGAAATTTGTAAACAAACTGAAGGTGACGTTCTACCAGTTGCACCCGTACGAAGTGCCATACAAACCTCGAGTATCACCGGACGAAGTTAGGAAAAGCTTTAAAGCTTTTGATCCTTTACCAAGTAACATCAAGAGCATCACAGACTCTGCGCAATTGCTGTTACAAGAGCTTAACAAGCTGCGTGTTAATACAGTGCTTCTGAAGACGAGAGAGGCAAAGGCAGTGGCGGAATTGAAGCATTTCTTGGAACATAGTTTTGGCAATGTGTATGACTTTGACTACTATTCAGGTAATTATCAACTGAAGACTACAATCATGGACAAAAATCGTTGGAACACTGATGTAATGCAACGAATTATCTGTGTTTTACTGACTGAAGTTTAAAAAGGCGCTGCTATTCTTTTAAGAAGCGTTGCTGTTCCCATGTTCCAATATAATGTTAAAACTGCGGAGAAATTGCAGGTACCAGTTTTCAACATTGTATGAGAGGTGGGGGAAGAGGTTGGGCAGGTAAAGTTGTATTCTCATCTGGCGTGTGGGCAAATGTTCCAAGAGTACAAATTTGTCCTAAGACCTTTGTTCATGATTGTAGATTTATTGTTGCTAAAGGCGAGCGAATCGTGTCGGTACTCCCGCTGTTTCAGCTTCGGCTGCAACTTCGACTTCAGCTATCACACTGAATCCTACTGCCACTGCTACTGTTGTTTTTGCAACAACTACTGTTGAAACTGCTACAGCTACTGTTACTGCTACGGCAACTGATTCTACTGTGCTACTCTTGAGCTGGTGACAGTAGCAGTAGTGATGGTGGTAGTGGAAATAGAAGTGACAGTGGAAGTGGTGGTTGTGGTGGTAATGGCAGTAGCAGTGGTAGTTAAACTGGTGATGATGGTTGGGGGGGCGGGTGCAACAGCACGGAGCATACACCAGTTTTAGTTCTATCATATCTTCACACATGATGTGAGGATATCATATCGTTTTTGTCAATTTGTTACCACTCGGTATACCACTGGCTTTTATATAATAAAAAAGCTTTTGTAAACTAAAACTAAAACAATAGTGATTATCCTGAACACACAATAAGGTTAGGATATAACTATCAATCAAGTTACATCGGTTTGATTAATTATTGAAAAAGCAATATTGCGTAGATCAAAACAAAATGAAATGAATTTTGCTAATTGAATACAGAGATAATGATTTGTAGAGGTCATAGATTCGTCAATGGCTTGTAACGGAGATAATTGTTTAAAAGTCGGAACGATATTCTCTATTACCATGCATCGCCACCACTACCATACCATCATGACGGCAAGGACGAGGAAAACTAGTGCTGTTACTGACACAACTAGACTGCGAAAGACAAGATATGTTCATGATGTTTTATTTGGAAACTGATCTAACGTAGATGGAAAGAATAACCTTGTCATTTTCTCATCCTTGATGTCTTGTAGGTCAATGGATGCTTGGTCCCAACAGATTCTGTTACACAAAGAATATCGTCCGATTGCCATTTCATTTTCGAGCGTTTCTAAAGATGTTGTCTCCAGAGACCGTGGAAGATATGGAGGCCATCATTGAAGCTTTAAAAAGCTTTGGAAAAGGAATAAAGCGATACCGAGAAAATATCGAGCTTGGAGTCAAAGTTGGAATGGTTGGTTCTGTAGAAGAATGTAGGGTTGGACTTGATTGCTTGAATCAAAGATACCCAAAAATTTCAGACAGCTTACGAGAAGAAGACATTATGATGGAATCGTTTGCGAATCCATTTCTAACTGAAGCGTTTATCTTGCGATTTCAAAACACGTCGAGACTGTGGTTTAAGAAGTATAATATATCTTTAGACCAATCAATGGCGGACAGCTTGATAACCTACGTAGGTGTTCCTTTAGTTAATTTGCTGCGATACTTGGCGACGGATCACATGAAGCACTGCGTACCTAGTAATGTTTCCAGCGGTCTTTTCAATCGCCCATTGCGTTATGTCTACTATAACGGAGTACCTAATGTGTCTGAGCCCGCGACTATGAAGTTGCCCAGCGGTGAAATGATCGATGGAAAGGCTGGGTATGAGAGAACTATGCGTTTTTTTACAACAACCAATCATACGGCTGGTAAGTGAAGGCCCGTTTGTTTTCATTTTGATTTGCTTTGCTACTTTCAGTGAAGTCTAGAGAAAACGGAGTTTACTCTTCTTTTAAAATTCGTAGCAAAGTCTTGTATGCGAAGGCCATGAAATGAAATAAAGACGCGACAAAATCGCGGGGAAAGTTGCGCAGTTGTTGACGAGCGCGGGAAAATCTCGAAGCGGTTGGCAAGAGTAGAATATGCGTTAATTTTTGGGCAATGTATAACCTGAAATGAGTCCTTGGCTTAGAATTTCTTGATAATCAAGAATCACTAGCAAATTAAATAATTAGCTTTCTTGCACGCTGACTATGAGGAAACCTAACAAGCTTAACCCTTTTCCGCCCAAGATCACATATACTGGCGTTGAGTGGTCGTGCTCTTTCTACCAATTGTGAAGTCATCAATTTAAATGTCACTAGATAGTCTTGATAAGCAGACAGCAGAGCTAGGACAGACCTATCCGCGCAACAGGCGGTTTTGGATATCGACGACATTCTAACGTAGCAAATTCAAAAACAGCGTTAGCAGTTTTGGTGCGAAAATGGTGGTAGAATGGCCCATTATACCAAATTTTGGCTTATGCGCAAGCACCAAATTAAAATATTGTACATTTTTGTAACTTATCCTAGGGAAATCTATCTCTTTGTTAAAAAAGATAGCTTTATGAGCAAAAGTAAGGCCCATTTAGCCTCATGGCAGCCAAAAAAAATGGGGATTAAAACAGCATTTTTTGGTGAAAATTTGGGTGTTAAAGAGTTAAAACACGGATTAAAAGTAATACATAGCCCAAATTTTTTCAAGTTCGGAGTTGTTTTAAAATTCTTCCTCAATATAATCTTTATGATACTTGATCCAATTGTTTTTTTTATTATAATCACAACAGCAGTGTCTACCATAGTAATCTATTATTTTGAGGTTTAGCAGTTATCTTTTAAGGTATTATATTTTCGATGGTGATAGTTTTTCCTGTCAAGACTAACAGTTGGTCGGCCGGTGAATTCTAAAACTCGATTTTAATCTGATAGCGAACCAAATATTGGTATTTTTCTGACATCTTTTTTATTTTTTACGGTCATAGAATCTGTTCATCAGCTTGGTTGGTCATTGTTGAAGTGGCTCTATCCTCAAGCTTTGACTATAGCTAAGTCAATCACTGGACTTGACAACGAAACGAAAGCTGTGGAATCGTTCCGAAAGCTTATCCACTCACCATCTATGTACTTCAACGAAGAGCCCTTCCCTCGAAACGAATCTGACGAAAGAGCGCATAGGTGGTGCAGCAATGAAAAAGGTAAGATATTGGCGCCAACAGCAACATGGTATGGGGCCATTAATGCAGCATTTTATACCTCTTATAAAATAGTGCTTTTCTTTGCTTTCTCAAATTGTTTGGCAAAGAGTGAGCTCTCAACAGTTCCATATACAGAAGTTTTCTAACGATAGAAGTGAAACCAGGCAAAGTCATTTATTGATAGGCTCTCTCTGTGAAAGCCTTATAGAACCATTTGTTTGGCCAGAAAACACATTTTCTGAAAATTCTCCTTTAAAGTTTGCGTGACCACTTTCAAAACACCTTTCATTTAGGTCAAATTGTGTTTTTGATTTAGAAAGAGATCCCCTAGGGAGCGAAGAATTTAACTGTTTCTTAAATGACATATAAAATTCTATTTTAAACTCCATCCTGATTAGCCTAGTTAACCAGAGCGAACATTTAGAGAAAACACTGAAAACAAGTTGAAGCCGTGGTTAGAATTTTTAAATTTTAATTTAAATTATCGTTATATGAATTTGAAGCTTGGCAAAGGACATGGGTATCTTCTCGCTTTTATTTGCATGGCGTTCATATCACACTATATGCAGTTGATAATTATTAGTCGCCGTTTACTGTCTTACCAATGCAACTATTCTCTAAAATTTTAGCTGCAAGAGAATTCTGTCCCGTTCGCTACGCCGCCATGCAGCGCTGGTTCGAATTTTCTCGCAGCACTCTCAGTCAACTGGAGCCCAAACTCTTACGAATGTTTCACTGGCCTCTGGGACCCTTAAAGACCACCCCGGTTTGCCCTGTTGCTATAGCAATTGACTTTATGCCGACCACTTCAGCTCAGACTTACACCTCGAGTTTTCGCAGCTGCAAACAGCCGGCCATGTACCGAATTCCTTTCTTCTTGGACCGAATGGGCCCGAAGTATTCCGAGTGGACAACGAGCGCTCACGAAGCCAGGCCGGGCCATCATTTGCAGTCTCAGGGGCACGTGGAGAATTTCTTGTGAGTCAAATATTAATTGCAGATATTCAAACTTAGCGATAGAACATTTTTTTGATTACCTTTTAGAGACTCGCCTGGCTAGGTTTTTTCCACCGCATCTTTTTCCTATTTCAGCTCGGCCTATAGTCTTCAACTCAAACGGTACCTGCAGCCTAGAATTGAGGCAATCCCTTCCCGTTTACTCGAACTGGCGGGAATGTTTTTGTCACGTTCCTATGTAAAGTGTGGCTAAGCACACTTCGAGCCTTATGAGCAGCTAGGCCTACAAAAACGGCTTTTCTTTTAAGTTTTTCGTGTACTTTCTTTTAAAACACAGTTTCTATTCAACAAATAGATTCCATGTTGCCGTGCGAGGCTAGTCTGTTCAGTAATAGATCACAGGTGACGTCAAAAAGTCGTAAGAACCAAAAAGTGGCACACGAGCCGCTGGGCGAGTGTGTCACTGACTTGTGTGAGTCTTATACCAATTAAACCGCTTGAATCGTTCAGGACTTGCACAGGTGGCCATACAGGCCACTGAATATTTGGATCTCGTGCATATATCATGCTTTTTTTGGAAGGAATTAACTTTGATGTCACGTAACGTTTGCCACGTTTTGCCCTTCTAGGGACTGGTGCGGTCCAATAGTAAGTGCGTTGGTCAAAAGCAGATACATTGCTTTCTCTGAGGGGTGGGCACTGTACGCAGAGAATCCCCTCGTTGCCGCAGAAACGGGTAAGACATAATTCAAGTGTACCTGTCCGGTAAATGGAAGCACGAAATTTCACCTTGCTTGCCTTTACAAAGCAAGTTATTCACAAACTCACTTATTTTCATGTTTAATACACTTTGATTATATTTTATCGCTTTTAGCTCGTTTTTTTTTTTAAGTGATTTTTAAATTAGCTTGATGTAAATACCTTTTTTTAACGCTTTTATAATGTTGCACATTACTTAATTTAAATCGTGGAGCACCTGGAAACTAGCGAAGAGCTAAGTGTGTACTTTTCCACGTTAAATAAAGTATGTATGTATGTATGTATGTATGTATGTATGTATGTATGTATGTATGTATGTATGTATGTATGTATGTATGTATG